TCACACATAATCCCAGTGGATCATGAGTTAACACAAACTCTAGAAGTCCTCACCCCATGACTGCATGAGGCGTCGGGGGACAACTAGACACAAACCATAACAGTGAGGAAGGCCTTCCTGCTCATTCGCCTATCACCTTCCTCTCCCAGCTTCATCTCCTGTCTATTGGAACCTCAAAGGCCTTCTTGAGTTTCTTGAACAAGTTGAAGGGCCTTTCACAGGCTAGTAACTTGACCTGGTAACAACAGGAAAAAAGGAAATCCATCAAAATGAGAACAGCTAATGTGTGAACATTTCTTTTACATATTTTTGTTTTCAAAACCAGTGGTTATATTTTAAAATTTTTTGTTTATAAAGGGTTAGGATGTAGTTCAGGTAGAGAACTTGCCCAGAAGGTGCACAGTCAATCCCCAGCACTATTTTAAAAAGTCACTTAAACCTAAGTGATACCCAGTAATTTTATAGCCTTAAGTTAACCTATCAAAGCATTAAGGAATAATGTCTCTGTCCTTTACTATTTCTAGGTAGTTACACCTGAAGGACTTGGTCATACTGCTATAGCTTCAGGAACAAACATCCCTTCCAGCAATCCAAAAGATTGTCTTCCTAAATCAGCGCAACTCTTAAAATCTATTTTTGTGAAAAACGTTGGTTGGGCTACACAGGTGAGAAGTTTCTAGGAAAGTAAAATAGCTCAATTTCTTCAGTGTGCATTTCTTTTGGTTTTCATATACATTAGTTTCCCTCTCAAAAATTTATTTTTATGAGTCCTTATCAGGATGGTTTTATACTTTTTTACATTGATTATATCTTTAAAAGTGTTGACTTTTTTTAATACATGAGAAACACTAGATATTATTAGTACATTATCTCTTAAGGCCCAGATGAGCAATTTTGCCAGTTTTTACAGTGGGGGTCATAGCTGGGTGCAGGGGCACATGCTTGTAATCCCAGCATTTAGGAGGCTTAGTCAAGAGGATTGCAAGTTTGAGGTCAGCATGGGCTACATATTGAAGCCCATCTCAAAAAACCTAAATAATTTTTTTTTAAAGGTTATAATAATTATGAGGAATAGAGTGGAATCTGGGGCATTTTATGTATTTTCGAGAGAGGGTCTTGCTATGTATGTAGTTCAGGCTGGCCTTGAACTATGTAGGCTGACCTCGAAGTTACAGTTGTGCTCCTGTCTCAACCTTCTCTTTTGAGTGCTGGGATTATAGATGGGCTCTACCACACCTCGGCAGGACATTTTAATTTTAGAAACTGATTAGAGTAGCTTTCTTCTGGCAAAAGGAAGGAATTTAAGAAGTTGACTGCACATAGATTTCAGACCTACACAAATTTTTGTAGATATGAATATACATGTATATATTTGAAACTGGGAGTCCAGGGGACATGTATATTTTCCATCTCTAGGGAGGTATAGTGCACCCCAGTACTTGAGAAGGGCAACATTTATTACTTGTTATGTGGCACTGCTTTTCACATTTGGTCTAGTGTATCCCACACAGTAACAGTGACGTTGATGTTATCACTTGTTAACAGCAGTGAAATCGAGGTTCATAATGATAGTACCCCACGCACACGTGGGCTGAGTCTGCAAGTCAACCGAGGTCTGTGATTCCAGTTTTTGGGTTTTTTTGTTTTTTTTTTTCTTTCTTTCTATGCCATGTGCTTCTATTGGGAGTAGCACATTGTAAACATTAATGACTAAAAGAAGTACTTTTGACTAGTATTCTTAGGCGAAGGAGAAATGTGTGTCACTTAAGGACAAAGAGTTGCTTCTGTTATTCTTCGCTCTGTTGCAGTAATCATAATGGAATTCTCCATGGCGAGGGGAGAAACTCAAAACATCTGCAGATATCCTAATAGAAACTGTGTGAAATGGGATTCATTTAGGGGTTTTTTTAAAGACAGAGTTGAGATGTAACTTAGGCTGGTCTTAAGTTTATAGCAGTCCTCTTGCTTCATCCTTCTGATTGCTGAGATTACAGTCATGTGCCACCACACTCAGCTTTCACTTAGAATAATTTTAATATTGTAATTCTCTAGGTATTAAAGAAATTTAAAAAATTAAAAATAAATATCAAAAAGACACAAATATTCTCAATTTTGAGACTGCGACAGCCCCAAGTTTATGCTTACTGAAGTTTTTTATAACTATTAGAATACTTGTTAAATACCTCTGAAGAACCTCAAGTCCTCTGTTGTACAGTCCTTGTGATGCTTATTGTTTTTCCAGTTAACTAGTGGAGCTGTGTGGGCTCAGTTTAATGATGGGTCACAGCTGGTAGTCCAGGCAGGAGTGTCTTCTATCAGTTACACATCACCAAACGGTCAGACAACTAGGTAAGTTCTGAAAATACTGACAGTCAGCCCTGTTCTATAATTTTGCTTTCTCTGTATTTTGAAGTAAATGATTTGATAAACTTACTGTCTTTGGACAGTCATACTATTCTTTAAACTTTTCAGTACTCTTAGCACTTAATAATTTTTAACATGTTTTATGATTATTTGCTTTAATGCAGGGCAGTTAGTATGAATAATCCAGGCCTAATCTACTTCAGTGGTTAGAGTCCTTATAACCTTTTCATCTATAGCCTAATTAGGATGACCCTTTGTATACCCGTTTACTTAAAAGAACACAGAAACAGACACCCTTTTAGGAGGTAACTTCCTTATTTTTCCAAATGAAAGACTATATTCCTTGATGTAAACTGATCAATGTTTGACACTTTTGAGCGTGAATAGGCAGCACTTGTGTGTATAAGTACTGCATCCAAGGAGTCAACTAACTAGAGATTGAAATACTTGAGACAAATTACATCTGTACTGAGCACATGCAACATTTTTTGTTACTCCCTAAATAATACAGTTTAGCTATTCAATAGGACTCACATTTTTTTTGATATTACAAATAGTCTATAGTTTTATTTTGATACTGGGGTTTGAACCCAGAGGTAGAATAACACTAGGCTATGTTTTTATATATATTTTATTTTATATATATTTTAATTTTCATTTTGAAGCACAGCCTTACTAATCACTAAGCTGCGTAGACTGGCATGTGTCTGGCTAGATGGAGTTGACTTTATAAAGCACAGGAGAACGGATGTACTTCACAAGTAAACACTATGTCATTTCATATGAGGGTCTTGAACATTATAGGATTTGGGTTTCTAGGGGCTCTGGAGGATACCAAGGGAGAACTGTGTATTCATGCTGTAGGAATGTGTTCCAGCCATCACGCTAAACATAAGGAATCTGGCAGTAGCAAGAACTTTAATTAAATTAGAAGTTTCTAGAGAAGAAGGTACTTACTTCTTGGCTTTTTGGCTAAGATTAGGTGTCAAAGAAGAAGGTACTGAGAAATTTATCTGTTTTGGTGGAAATACTTGAGCAAATATAATTTGTGGCCATTTCTACTCACTTTTTTTTGGTTAAATACATGTACATGTAGCCATTTAAAGAATGATACTTATAGTGAGGCCTCTTCAAAAGTTCCAGTAAGCAGAAACACAGAAAGTGAGTAGAACCCATGTTCATGGGAAGAATCTTGAGATTTTTATTTGCTGTGATCATTTGGAAATTATTAGCATTTAATATAAATGGATTGATAATATATTTTGTCTTTAGAAGTATGGCTTTATTTTAATGAATCTAATCACAGCTTGCTTTAGATATTATAGTCACTTCAGTTTTTTCTTAAATTTTAGTGATTTGAATGTTTACAAATGTTCTAACATTAGAAATATGAAGGTATCTGCTTAATAAAATATTGTATACATTTTTTAGTGTTATTAAAAAATTACTAAAAAATACGCTTTGGGTACTCATAAAAGCCAAGTGATTACATTTTTTTCCTGTTTCACTTAGGTATGGAGAACACGATAAGTTACCAGAATACATCAAACAGAAATTACAGTGTCTTCGTTCTATGCTTGCAATGTTTTCTAATCCAACTCCTACTTTTCTTTGATTAAAACTCCTTTTTGATAATCTGCATTTCATAAATAGCTATTTGGCTGGCTTTCAAATAAAGTGACTTTTTAAATTTAATATAACTTCTTCAGAAAGCCTTTCTATTAAAACGAATTTAAATCTGTACCATAAAGGATATGGGCTGAGAACAAAGTTGAATGAAATTTGAGTCACTTAGCAAATACAGTGATCATAAAGTAAAACAGGATGCCTAACTTTGCTCTGAGGGTATATACCTGCAATTTAATCTGTTCATATATATGTACTGAACTTTTAAGCAAACATAAATGGTGTGTGATGTGTTTGTATTTTTACTGTTTTCCTTCTCAGACACTGAGAATCATGGATAAAACATGCTGTGGTTTGGGAATTTTTGACATGTAAATAATGTGTATTTATGTTTTAAGTAACATATAAACATGTATATTTGTTTTATATTTATTTTTGTAGCACCTGTGAAGAAGCAATTCTGAAAATGTATTTTATAAAAAAATAAACACACTAATTACTTTGTTTTGATTTATTTTAAATAGGGTAGTATAAACTAATTTTAAAATTTTGTTGTATATTTATGAAGTGTAAATTAACCTTTCTGTGTGTGTGTGTATGGTACTGGGGATTGAACTCAGCACCTTGCACTTCCCAAGCAAGTGCTTACTCTACTGAGCTATCTCCTGGACCCCAGAAAAGTAAATTAAATTTGAAAACTTAAATCTGAAATCAAAAGTCATTTCTGAGCTGGGCATGGTGGCACATGCCTATTATCCCAGCACTTGGAAAGCTGAGGCAAGAGGATTGCCAGTCAGTTCAACGCCAGCCAGAACTACACAACACAACCCTGTGTCAAAAAAAAAAAGAAAATATTAGAACATTTTTTATTAAGTAGGCAATTAAACTATGCTACAATTATTGTTTTGGAGAGTTGTACTTATGACAGTGAAAAGAAAAAAACAATTATAATTGTAACTTAAACCAGTTGCCTGAAATCCCAAAACTCAGGAGGCTGAGGCAGGAGAATTACTGAGTTTTGAGGCCAGCCTAGGCTACATAGTGAGTTCACGGTGTATTCTGAAACTACATAGTGAGATCCTGTCTCAAAAAGCCAAAGAAGGCTGATGCTTCAGCAGACTAAGCACCTGCTTAGGCATGTACGGAGGCTGGGGTTCAATACCCAGTACCACAGGCCACACCAGCTCTACCCCCAGGCTCACTGAGCTGGCCACCAAGACCAGTGGTGGCGCACACTTGTAATCCCAGTATTGGGAGGCTGCAAACAGGATCACTTCGAGTCTGAGCTGCCTAGTGAGACCCTGTACCAATTAAAAAAATAATAATAAATAAATGAAGCAGTAACCAGCTCAGAAAAATGGACAAAAAGATACGTATTGTTCATAAAGGAAAAAATCCATTATGATCAACAAAAATGGAAATAAGCTCAACCTCATTAAAGTTGAGGAAATGTAAAAATTAAATAATTGGTTACAGGAAAGCTCAGCGCTGTGGCCCACGGGAACTGGGAGCCTGAGGCAGGCCTGCAGGGTCACCCAGGAGCAGCCACCAGTGCCTCCACTCATCCGCGTGGCCCTGCCTTCCGCCCTCTGCTGTGCTGGAGTGCTAGTCTGATGACTAATGATAAATGACAAGGTAGAATACACAGGAATGAGCCATCTGTTTAGCTGAGTACACCCATTCTTTAATGCAAAGACTGATGTTTAATCTTGCTAACATGTAAGCCCTTAGCGGACCCCTAATAAAAGACCAATTTGTAAAAACAATCTGGTTACAAAAGCAAGTGGGAAATTCTCAGGTGTTCTTAATTATAGCACAAATGATACGCATAAATGAATAGGAAATATCTTAGAATTAACATTTAAATTCACTGGTAATCTAACCTCAAAGAAAATTAGTTAAGACTTAGGGACTTATTAGAAGAGTTAACCTTTAAAGAAATAAAGTAATAGCACAATTCTGAAGGTTGAAAAAAGCACGTTTTTGGTTTAACAACTTCGTACATACTGTATAGCTCTTTCCATCTCGGCCTTTTCTGGGTGTTCTCTTAGGCAGGCTACACAGCTGAACACTTAATGCAGTTAACTGTTCTACCCAGGTTTGTTTACATTTATCATGGCTTCTGGTATATTTTAATGTCTGTCTTTTAACCGTTCATTTATGTCAACTTGTGTCTACTGGTTTATTTTTTTGGCGGTACTGGGGATTGAACTCAGGACCTTACACTTGTCAGACAAGTGCTTATTCTACTGAGCTATCTCCCTAGCCCTTGGTTTATTTTATATCATGTACCATACATGACTTTTTTTTTCTCCTTCTTCCTCAGTAGGGTGTTTTCTGTAAATTTTGCTGTTTTGCTTTCTTCAGAAGATAAAATGGCAATACTCAGGTTTACATTATGAAGTTTATAAAACTTCACAGCTGAGCTCTGTCCTATACCAGCATCTATACTAGAATTGTATTACTTGAATCATTTTTTTTTCTAGTCATTTCCTCTAACATGTAGGTAATCTGTTTTCCCTTCTTTGCAAGACATCTTTTTTTTTCCTACCTGGACTGATTGTTGCGCAATTTTCCAGTGAATAAATATAATTTATTAGTCATACTTTTTTATTTTTTAAATGTATTTGGTACAGGGTCTCAATGCACCATGGACTCACAGTGATCCTGTTTTCAGCCTTCTCAGTGATTAGAGGTAAGCACCACCACGCCTGGACTCCGTGGCCAGCTCAGCGTGGGGGGGAGGTAGTGTCCAGCATAGCATGTGCCGGTGATCAAACCTTGGTGCCTGCTCTAGTTATACTGTTGAAAGACCTTCTAAGTATCCAGATTTTGACTGTACATTCTGGTACCTGTGCACACAAGTTTCTCATGGATTTCACTCCAGCCAATTTGCTGGATCTTGGCAGTTAAGTATAATTTCAAACTCCCATCTAGTAAATAATATCAAATGCTTACATTTCCACCTGCAGTGCATATATTGTTATACATTTTCACCAGAACTTGCCAATTTGACATGTAGAGAATAGTATATTACTAGGTGGGTGAAACTGCATACCTGTAATCCCAGCACTTGGGAGGCTGAGGCAGGAGGAACACCTGAGTTGTGGCAACCAGCCGTAACTACATAGCAAGATGCTGTAGGCTCAAAAAGCCAAAAACAAAAAAAAAGTGTTACTGGTTTAAATCTGTACTTTCCTCTTTGCTAAAAATCTTGAAAGCTTTCACTGGATATTTGTCTATCCTGTTGAGATTTGCCTGTTCATGTATTTTGCCTGCTAGCACACATTCTTAGTACTAAGAGTACTCAACATGTACCTTCTGTTTCCCCAGGCCTTGTGCCTCAGATCCCTTTGTTCCACCTTCACCAAGATTAGTCTCTGCTTGTCAGAGATACCTTCTTGAAGAGATACCTCGCTTTCCTTTCCAGATCAGGTTACCTGTATATCCACTGCCCTCCCCTTGGTCACAGTCACCTGACACATGAACTTATGCGACTCTGGTGAGGGAGGAGGTGTGTGTGGTCTGTGTACTGCTCTGTGTACTCTGTATACTGTGTGCTCTGTGTACTGCTCTGTCCTCACCAGTTCTGCATACTTGGCATGTAGTATCTCCTGACAGTATCAATGAATAAAGTTCCAGGAATACAGTACATAGATACAGTCTCATTTATTAGAAAATGAACAAACAATGTAAAATAGACATAAATTACAAGTAAATCTGCAATCGTAAAATGATACACAGAATTTCTTTTCAAGTTAATATATTTTTAACAGATGCAACTAGTATACCCATGTCAAACTAAAAAATTACAAATGTATTTTATTTTATGCAAAACAGCTTTATATGAAAGCTTATAAAAGAGTTTAAATGTAGACAAGGTTAACAGAATAGAGATGCTTTGAGTAGTTATAAAACCATTACAATTAGGCAAATCACTGTTCGTGAGTTCATTCACATTTTCCAAAATATTTCTTAAATACATATATTAGCTTTTTTTAATACTTAAAGTTTCATATCATATTTGAATTTATACTCATTTTATCCCACTCAGGACCTCAACTGAGCTATTTATTCCTCAAATTTTACATCCCTGCTCTTTACCCAAATCCATGTCACTTCCCTATCTTTTCTGTGCCACAAGGCGCTTCATACAGATGTGAGGACTCTACCCCAAAGAAAGAGTCCTCAACAGAAAAGAAGGTGCAGCCACTTGTGAAGTTACAGTTTATCTGAATTATAATTACTATTCTAACTCTTTAGATAGGTCTCATTTTTTTAATCTCTGAAATTGGAATAATGGTATCTTCACCCTGTAATATTGCTGTGAAAACCGTACATTACACATTATCAATACAGAAATACTTGCTCTTAATATTTCCATCACTATTGTTTCATTATGCAAACTCCCCAAAGGGTAGGATTTACTCTCTAGGATTAGAAGTGACCCAAAAGTCAAAGGCAGGAGGATTCCAGAGCAATAGGTAAGAGGGACTGTAGACTTGACCAATGGCCAGAATGCTGGCTACAGCTCTGATGACTACACAAGAGTGTTGCTCTGGGAGGCAGGGGAAAAAAATACCCCAAATCTCCAGTTCAACCACAAAATAACTTCTATCAGGTTAACCTTTTTATTATAGCTGAATAAATTGGGTTTGAGATGACAGCAAGCCTAGTGTAAAGGACAGATTATTAGTGTTTATTTAGAAATACAGCCAGGGATACAGTTCAGCAGCACAGCACCTGCCTGGCAAGCGCAAGGTCCTGAGTTCAATTCCTGATACCAAAAAGTTTCCAGAAATACTAGGAAATTTTAAGAAGAATATTTAGAATAGAGCTGGACATGGTGGTGTATGTTTGTAATCCCAGCACTCAGGAGGCTGAGGCAGGAGGATCGCTGGAGTTCAAGACCAGCCTGGGCTACAATGTGAGCTCAAGATCAGTCTGAAGCACATTGCAAGACCCTATCTCAAAAAGCCAACAAAAAAGAAAAAAATAGAACTATGCTTGCATTTTATTATTTTTTATGTTTGCATATTATAATGCACTTTTTTTCTTTTTAAATGTATTTGGTTGTTATAGGGTCTTACTGTGCAGCAGCTCTGACTTGCGATGGTCCTCCTTCCTTCAGCTTCCTCAGTGCTGGGATTTCAGGCATGTGGTACTACTCCTGGACTCTGTCCAGCTCAGCCTGCCCTGGGGCAGGGCTGGCACAGAATGTGGTGCCAGGGTTGGAACCAAGGTCCCTGTGCTTGCCTAAGCTTGCCTAAGTAGGCACTTTAGTCCACTGAGCTATCTTGCTGGCCCCTATAATGCATTTATTAAAGAAGGTTTTTGGGGGGTGGACTTTGTTTCTGTTTTGTTTAGCAATATAGCAGGTACTGAGTTCAAACTTGTGATCCTCCTGCCTCAGTGTCTCAGAGCGCTAGAATTACAGATGTGTACCACTATGCCTGGCCCACGTAGCTCTTTATCAGCTTTAGACTCACACTGAGGTAGAAATGTATACATAGTATGATTTAGCCAAGTTCAGGTAGATTCGTTAAACTTAGGTAAAAGTTGTTGCCTCATATACTTATTAGACTATCTAGGGTATTAGGTTCCATTCAAATTTAAAAGCCAACTAAAATTCTCTAAACGCAGGGAAGTATTTAAAGTGAAGATCTTTCTGTAGAGTTTAGAATGAGAAAACAGCAATAATTTCAAGAATTAATTTACTGTTTAGTACATGTATGCAGTAATTTATCTGAATTGTTTCTAAGTGAATTATTAGAACGTGAAAGAAAAAAAGCCCCACTAAAGGCAATGCAATCCATCCTCGTGTTAATTTAGGGGTTGTAAAATCTGGAGCTAAAGCAAGACAGGTGCAATGTTAGAAGAGACTTAAGACAGGTTAATGGGGATTTGACTCAGGATTTTTGTAAGGAAAATGGATGATAGAAAATGTATTTTTATATAAATGCATTTTTTTTTCAGTACTGGGGATTGAACTCAGGACCCTACATTTGCCAGGCAAGCTCTTATTCTACTGAGCTATCTCACCGGGCCCATAAATGCATCTTTGAATAAATAACGTTAAAAGATTTTTCTAGTTTCGTCCTGTACTAACTCATACACAGCTCTCCTGGTTTCACTGTTTGCATTAAAGAATACAGCTCTGCATTCACAGACCATTGTCCATTTGCTCTTTAATTCCTAAAATCCCCAAAAAGGCAGTAGTAGAATACTTCATTTTTGAGATAAGGAAATTTTGGCCTAGAATGTTTTTATGTATCATATTCATAATTACATGTGTGATTCCTTGTCAATGTATGTTCACATTATTCAAAATGTGCAAAATCTACAGCCTGGCTCATAACAACACTAACAGTGCCTCACGCAGGGATATGCCATGCCGCAGGAACTTTCCTCCACGGCCTTAGCGAGGCAACTCCTGAATCCCCCCATACCTTACAGAAAAGGCGATGAGTCTCTTGTAAACCACTCCAAGGAGGGAGATGGTGAGCAGCACTATTCCACACACAAGGCCGAACGCCCATCGCGGCCCCAGGTAACTATACACGTGGCTGATGAACACAGGCCCCAGGATGCGTGCGCCGCTTCCGGAAGCTGTTAACCAGCCCATGTACACACCCTGTGTGGGGAAGGGCAGGGAAGAAGACGAATGCTTAGGTTTCCTTATTTTAAAACAATGCTGCTATTACCAAACTGGCAAAATCGATCATTTTCTCTACCTTATGCTTCTAAAATGAAATGTCTCTATAAATTCAGTCAGTAAAAAATAATAAACCTAACCACTATTAAAGTTGGCTTACCGGGCCGGGGAGATGGCTCAGGAGAATAAGCACTTCCCTGGCAAGCACAAGGGTCTGAGTTCAATCCCCAGTTCCACCAAAAAATAAAAGAAAATTAAAAAAAAAAAAAAATTGGCTTACGCAAAATAAAAGGGATATAAAGGGACAACCTCTCCTCCCACTTCTGGTGCTCATGTGTGCTCGCAAGCACCCTACCAATTAACTGAGACTTCTGCTGCATGGGAAGGTCTGGAAGGTCTGTTAAAGCCCAGGAAACAATGTACCTTATTAATGTACCTTTTAAAGCTAGCGCTTATTTGGTGCCTGGACACTGAGATAGGCACTGCTTTCATCTACTGTTTCTAGTGTAATATCAGTGACAGATGCTGTCTCTAACAAATAGAGAAGCTAAAACTCTGGAAGGTCAGATAAATTGTCAAAGAGACTTTGCAGCCACTGCCACAGCTAGTATACACAACTATGTCCCATTCAGTCTACCCAAGAACTGTTAGCGTAGCATTATTTTGTCATTATTTCAGGTAGTCCAGACTGGCCTTAAAACTAATTACAGTGTATAGACCAGGCTGGCCTCGAACTTTTGGCAATCCGCCCACCTCTGCCTCTCTGGGATTACAGATGTGCATGCCCACCACACTCAGCATGCGGCATTATTTTTAACAGCTGGAAACTGAAAACAAACTAACTGTTCATGTTGGATTAAGTAGATAAATCATGGTATATTTAAAAACTGGAATGCCAAGCAACTATTTAAAAGAATAAGGTCATGTAGGTTATGATCTGATAATAACATGCAGACATGGTGAGAAGTTATATTACATTAAAAGATACAGAGAAAACTAGATGTACATGCAATTTAATGTTTCTCTAAAGCGTAAAGGTGGACATGTTTGAGCAGACATAAAGTGTGTTGAGTACAAGTGAGGCTAACAGCAGCTGACCTGGTGTGGTAAAGCCCTCCCTGGGGACTCTTCTGCTATATATACTCCCAAGTTGTTTGACTTTTGTTGTAATCATCAGTATTGCTTTTATAATTAATATTATTTTAGATATTTTTGAGGCAGGTCTCTTAGATGATCTTCTTGCCTCAGTTTCCCTAGTACATGGGACTAGAGATGTACCATTGTACCACTAATTCTTTTATTCTTAATTTTGAAAAGTTGAAAATATAATCTTCTAAGGGAAGAATCAATCCCAGGACTTGGTTTGTAGCTTAGTGACAGAGCATAGTCTTCATAGTTTGGAAACACAGGTATTAAATTTTTTCTCTTTATTTCAACAAAGGAACACTAATATCTGTGTTGAAAATGTAAAGCTATCATCTTAACTTTGTTTTTGGTACCAGAGATCATACTCAGGACATTGTCCTTGCCAGACAGGCTCTTAATGCCACTGAGCTATCTCTCCAGCCCCCAGTTTAACATTTTAAGAAATACACTGAGCATGGTGGTGCACAACTCTAATCCCAGCACTTGGAAGGCTGAGGCAGGATCACTGTTTTGAGGCCAGCCTGAGCTACACAGTGACCCTATATCAGAAGGTTTTTTTTTTTTCTCCGAATGCCTTCAGGGCAGGTTTGGCTGGCTTGAGTTGTGGGGATCGAACCACAGCAACCTGAGCCTGACTGCTTTGTTGAAGCAGCCACTTAAAGAACTGAGTTAAGGGGCAGGCCCCCCGAGTGACCCTATATCAAACAAACAGAGTGCCAGAAATGTATTTCATGTAACTGTACTGTGAGGGTAGTTGCCTTACCTGAGGTTTAGGGCCTAGGATTTTTGAATAGAGCGTATAGGACATCACATTGCAGGCTGGATAGCCTATTCCGATGAACACAACTGATGTGAAGAACTGCGCCATGTGGATCACTGGGGTGTAGAGGCACCAGGTTTGCTCAATTGGGCAACCAGTTGGTAGTTCACTCTGATCTTCTCTTGGCAACTTCCAAAGACCAGTAATGATTTCCCCAAATGTGGTATTGGGGATTGAGTTATTATGTAAATCTGTAAAAACAAAGTGAGTACAGTGCATGATTTGTTAATTTTAGATAAAGAGTGTGATAAAGTTACAGAATTAGGTGTCTGTACCTTTCCACTGTATTTTGGGCAACTGATTTCCCCAAGGCAGCAAGATAAAGAATCCAGCCCACACAACGAGAAGTCCTCCCAGCAGAACGGCGCGCTCCCCGAGCCTGCAGGAGACAGATGGTGACTTCACAGTGAAACACTAATGCAGCCCCTCAGTGCTGCACTTCAAAGCTAAATTCCCATCCCTTTACATATGAGTTAATATAAATGCTAAATATAATTTCTCACTAAAAACAAGGCTCCTCTGGAAAAGGATTTTCAGGTCTGGGACAGAAGACCTGGAAGAGGAACCAGGGATCCTCACAAAGCAGCAAACACGACACTCAGAGATGATGAGCTTGCAAACAAAGGGCGCAGGGCCAGCTTGAAGGTGGCAAACGACACAACAGTGTGACACCGAAAGGACAGTAAGCAGTGGGTGGAAACGCACAAAAGGCTGCTAGAGAACCAACTCATTAATTTAAAATTCAGTGAATTAAAGAATTAGCATTTCTCCTCCTTTACACATATTGTACCTCGGGTTAACTGAATAGTAGTGAAGACTCTCTTTAGATAAAGTACTGGAACAAAATTTTGAATACAATAAAATACACATGTCACTTGTTATCTGCAGGGGACTGATTACAGGACATCCGTGAGGACATCAAAATCCCGAGTTACTTAAATCTCATATTATTTACAAAGTACTTATATATGCACCCCCTCCTCTGTCCATGTCTAGATTCATTACAATATCTAACAAAAGGTAAACACTGTAAATAATTGCCATACCACATTGTTTAGTAAATCATAAGAAGTCCACACAGACACATTTTTTTTTTCTAGAATATTCTTTATCAAAAGTTGGTTCAATAGGGATGGGGAGTATGGCTCAGTAGAATAAGCACTTGCCTGGCAAGCATAAGGGCCTGAGTTCAATTCCCAGTTCCGCAAAAAAAAAAAAAAAAGTTGGTTCAATCCATGAATGTGGTGCCTGCAGATTGGGGGTGCCTAAGTCTGTTAGCATTTGCAAGGGCCAATTAATCCTCTACAGAATGCTCAAGTTTATGCGCTTATCTCAAAACAGTGTCTTATTTATCTCTTCTTCTGATGCACATAGACTCCTTATATTTTTGCAAAAATCAAATCTCATTAAGGTAAGTGTAGCTCCAACTATGGGTTTCCAAGGAACACAGCAGACAGGAATATGCTAAACACTACAGTGATGGAATCAGCAAGATCTTGGGAAGGGGTCTGGAGGTGGAGAAAGGGAGGGGAAGGACAGAAATTAGAAATTATTAAATAAATGTAATTTTAGCCAGATTTTCCAAATGTACCCACTGAATAAACAAATATTACACTGTCTTAATAATTTTAAATCTTTGCAAACTTTCAAAAACTAAATACTATCTACTACGAGAGGAAAGCTTCAAGTTATTTTATTGGCATATTCATTTACATTGTTTAATTTTTTTTTTTAAATTTTTTTTAACATTTATTTATTGTGTGTGTGTGCGCGTAGCCAGCTCAGCCCACCAGGGGGCGCAGCTGGTTGGCATGTGGTGCTGGGGGATCGAACCACGGTCCCTGTGCTTTGCCAAGCTTGTTCCAAGGAGGTGCTTTAGACCACTGAGCCATCTCTCCAGCCCCTGTTTAACTTTTTAAAAACAGATTTGAAACAAAGCCTACTGGTGATGCACACCTGTAATACCAGCTGCTTTGGGAGGCTGAGGCAGGATGATCATAAATTCATAGCCAGCTATGGCAATTTTCAGAAACCCTATTTCAAAATTTAAAAATACAAAGGGGGATAGATAAAAAGGGGGGGAGGAGGGGGGAGGAAGGGAAGGAGGGAGAGAGAGAAAACAAGAGAACGAACTGTGAAAACTGCAAGCTCAGAACTTACATTTTGGAAAGAAATTTAACCCCCATGAAAACCACAACTGCCTCAACTCCAAGCCCAGCAAGTATGATCCCATTATATAATACAGCTTGTTCTTGAGTCCAAGCATACATATCCATCGTTAATGGAGTAAGGATTCTAAGAAAAACAAGAGAAATTATTTGATTTCATCACGGTAATATTTAAAGTGAAGAAGCTTTAATGACACACATTGTGCTTGCTTTGGCAGCACATATACTAAAATTGGAACGATACACATTTAACCATTTATATCCCTTTTAACAGTGACGGCAGTCTGACAAAAGCACAAGTGTGAACACATTTTATGCATATGCTGTTGCTACACACCTAAGTTTGACTGTATTTATAAAGAAATATAACTACATTGCAAAAGTCTGAAAAATAGGAAAAGAAAACAAGCAAAACCAGTCATAACTCCTGCCACTGTAATAGAATTAAATAAGCAGGAGATACTTTGGTCTAAACTGATCTCTTCCCAGTTGAGTGTGGTGGCACACGCCTGGGATCCCAGCACTCAGGAAGCTGAGGTAAGACTGCTCGAGTGCAAGCCCAGCCTGGGCTACATGGTGAGATCCTGTTGCAAAAAATAATCCCTTTTCTTAGGGTAGCAGTACTTTGAACCTTTGGGCATTGGGCTTCGGTACTGACTTCCCTTTGGGGAGCTGTACCTACACAGCTGCCAGTGTTTCCTTATAAGCAGGTCTATCTGCACAAATAGAATTTCAAGTCATCATCATTTTTTTTCAAAATCAGAAAATGACAGCAGTTCTAGTAGAAATCCTTTTTATTATTTTCTTCCTCCAGTACTGGAGATCACATGAGCTACATCCCCAGCTTTATCATTATTATTACTATTGTAATTATAATTGATAGGGTTTTACTAAGTCACTAGACAACCCAGGCTGGGCTCAAATTTTCCAACCTCCTGCCTCTGCCTTTTAAGAGTGCTAGGATTACTGGTACATAGTGGTACCTGGTGTGAAAGTCTATTTTTACAGTTGTTTTTGTTTTCTTCTTGTTACAGCAGCACACATTACTGGCCATCCAGAACTGTTCTGCAAGGTCTATTATCTTATTTAAAATATGCTAACTGATCTAGGTACATGCCTTACAACGCTCAGGAGGCTGAGGCACAAGGATCACAAGTTCAAGAACACACTGAAGACCCAATCTCAAAAAAGAAAATAAAACAAAATCTTATCTAGTGCCTTTTATAAAATAAAGAATACACAAACAGGGCTGGCTAGGTAGCTCAGTGGATTAAAGCACCTGCTTAGGCAGATGCAGGGACCAATGTTCGATTCCCCGCATGCCGTGCCAGCCCCACACCCAAGGTGCCCTGAGAGGGCTACTGAGACTGCGCGTGTAGCGCGTGCCTGTAATCCCAGCACTAGGGAGGCTGAAAACAGGAAAATCACTATGAGTCTGATCTGTGTAGTGAGACCCTGTACTAAATAAAAAAAAAAAAAAAAAAAGAAGAAGAAAAAGAAAAAAAGAATATATGAACAATACTGCTAAATACTAAAATTAGGGAGGGGGGGCCAGGGAGATGGCTCAGTGGAATAAACGCTTCCCTGGCAAGCGCAAGGGCCTGAGTTCAATCCCTGGTTCTGAAAAAAATAAAATAAAATAAAATTAGGGAGGTGAGGGAAATAGGAAGAAAAAATAGGTGTGTTAAGTACATGCACCAAGTCTGCATGATTAGTATAGTCATTATCCACTGCAACGATGGACCAAGAACAAAACTAAAATAATGATGTTCACAATTCATAATAAACCGGAAGCATTCCTCTGCAGCGTTCCTATTATTAAGTGATCAGAACCTACTCACCGGCTGCTTCTGCAGCCTCTTGCATCCCCACACCTGAATACACGGATCTTGCTCCCTGCCCTGGAATGGCTCTCGCCCTCATGCGACTGTCTCCCTCCTTACCAGGTCCCTTCCTAGGCTCTAATGCCTGTTAACTGCATGCGAGATGGAATTTATACTTCAAATATTTTTTTGAAAAACGAACAGTATTTTAAACTTTAAAATCAGATGAGGAAGGTTGGGGGGATAGCTCAATAGACTAAGTGCTTGCCTGGCAAACACAGGGCCTGAGTTTAATCCCCAGTTCTGCAAAAAATAAAAATAAAAATAATTCAGATGAGCTGGTGTAGAAAACATACCTGGTAGCCTCTCAAAAAGTTAAACATACATTAGTATCTGATCTAGCACCTCTATTTCTAGATTTATGCACAAAAGAATAGGGGGCCTGGGGCCTGCCCCTTAGCTCAATGGTTTAAGTGGCTGCTTCAACAAAGCAGTCAGCCTCAGATTGCTGCAGTTGATCCCCACAACTCCAGCCAGCCAAACATGCCCTGAAGGCATTCTGAGCCAGCGCCCCCCCCCAAAAAACCCTAAGAATTGAGGGCCAAGCCTCAGATATTTGTACACCAGTGCTCACAAAAGCATTATTCAAAAAGCCAAAAGGTGAAGTGCTGGCCAACAGAGGCACAAGGAAGTGAAGCAAAACACCTGCATTGGAAAGTTATCCACCATAAAGCTATGAAGGTCTGCAATGTGCTGTGATGGACTTGCAAATATCGCTACGTGAAAAAAGGCTAACACCAAAGGGGAATGTTGGACAGCGCCATTTACACAAAGCACCTAAAACACGCAATTGAGAAGACACCAGAGAGAAAGGAGGCTACTGGGGTCAGAGTGCAGGGCGACTGGGAGGAGAGTCTGTAGTAGGTTTAGGAGTTTTTGTTTGGAACAATGAAGCTTCTGGAAACACAATGGTCATGGTTGCATATCACCATACCTGCACTTAAGGCCACTGAATTATACTTTTTGTTTGGTCTTTCTGAGACAGGGTCTCTCACTACGCAGTCCAGACTGGCCTTGAACTCACTTTGTAGCCCAGGCTGGCTCCAACTCACAGTGATCTTCCTGTCTCAGCCTCCCGAGTGCCAGGATTACAGACATACACCACAATGCCTCATTTATTTTAATTATTATGAAAGAGTAAAATTCAGCCTGATATGGCAGGGCATGCCTGTAATCCCAACACTCGGGAGGCTGAGGCAGGAGTAACTGTAAGTTCAAGCCCAGTCTAGGGAATTTGGCAGCTGAGCAAGTGCGTATCTTTGAAAAAAAAAAAAAAAGTCTAGGATGACAGCTCACTACAAAGACCCTGGGTCAATCCTCAGTACTGGGGAAAAAAGAAAACTAAAACAGTAGACCAGTGCCCCTAGTAATGAGCTAAAGTGTTCATTTTATCTCAATAATTTTGAAAATAAAGAAAAACAAAGTCCACATGTACTGACATAAGAAATGTCACAATATACTGGTAAGTAAGCCAAGATGTCAGATGATAACATCATTTAGTCTACATGTGTTACCCTCAATTCACCCACCCTCCACCCTGTCTCGGAGTTGCACAGAATACAATGTTTGAAAACACAAACTGAACTATTAGTAGTGGTACCACCACAGCAGGAGGCAAAAGTGGAAGCACAGTTGTAATATTTGGAATTTTGTAAGATTATACTATTCAGGCCAGGCATGGTAGTATGCTCCTGTAATCCCAGCCCTGGGGAGGCTGAGGCAGGAGGATTATTGTAAATTCGAGATCTGCCTGTAGTACAAAGTGAGTTCAAGGCCAGCCTGAACCACATGCTGACACCCTGTCTCAAAAAGACAAAAATAAGTATAAATAAGAATGTACTATTTGTATAATAGATATTTTTAAAATGAAAGGGCCCATCAGGGTTGGGGAGATGGCTCAGTAGAATAAGCGCTTCCCTGGCAAGCGCAAGGGCCGGAGTTCAATCCCCAGTTCTGCCAAAAAAAAAAAAAAAGAAAGAAAGGGGCCAAGTATAAGCAGAAGTCACTGAAGCCTACCAGACACAGAGATTCTGTAATATTCTAGTTCTTTATTTTTAAGATCAAGGATTAGTTAAAATTGCCAGACTAAATGCTAGATATAATAAGTTGGGAACTATACAGTTTAGTTAATGAAATCATAATGCATACACTTTTCACACTGTGGTAAAAAAATATGCCTTATAGTTTCTTTCTTTTTTTTTAATGTTTTTAGTACAGGGTCTACAGGGTCTCACTACACAGATCAGATTCATAGTGATTCTCCTGTTTTCAGCCTCCCAAGCACTAGGATTACAGGCACATGCCACCATGCCCAGTCTCAATCGCCATCTCAGCATGCTGTGAGTGGGTGGGAGGTTGGGGGTGGGCAGCACAGCATGCTGGGGATCAAACCCCGGTCCCTGCGTCTGCCTAAGCAAGCACTTTAATCCACTGAACTATCTGGCTGGCCCGAACATAATTCCTTATAATATCTATACACCAAATTAGTACTGCATTTAGTAACTAGGTTAATATATCATCTGATTCACACAAAGGCAGAATAAAACTTACGTTTCAAAAAGGGCAAAGATAAACAGAACCACAAAAAAGAGAACATTGGTGGCTACAACAGCGACTTGATCAATATTTCCTTGTGAAATCTGAACTTCATCTGCATTTGCTAGAGGTAAATAGAAAAAAGAATACTGTTACCTATATATATAATTTTTCTTACAATACTAAAATAATATAGAAATTATATGTGGATAAATATTTAAATTACTTTAAGGCGCCAAAGCTGTTTAAAATGAACAGAAGTTACCCAGGCATGGTAAGCACACAGAGAATCCCTGCACTTGGGGGCTGAAGCACACTGCACGTTTGAGACCAGAAGGGTCACAGAGTGGGCCAGCCTGCACTACACAGTGAGACTAGTCTCCAAAACAAAACAAAAAACATAGAACAGAACTTACATGGCAAAAACAATTTTAAAATATTTAATATAAATATTTAATAAGTGTGCTGTTGAAGTGGGCACATTAAATAACATTTAAAAGTAAAATGAATATTCTTTGTAGGAGATAAAACATATACAGCAATTACTCATATTTCTTTTGTTTGGTGTTTCTCAATCAAGAATAATGTCTGTAATCTCAGCACTTGGGAAGCTGAGGCAGGAGGCTCACCACAGTCTGAGGCCAAACATAGTCAGTTTGAGGTCTCCCAACATAACATCATGAGACGCTTTCTCAAAAAAAAAAAAAAAATACAGATTATAATTTATGTAATTCTATAACATAGTGTTTTCATAAATTTCAGGTGCAGGTGTTGTTTTCTACATTAGCTTTTTTATGTGTAGTACTAGGTAATGAACATAGAGACTCATCCTTGCTACACAATTACTCTATCACTGAACTATATTCCTAGACTTTCAGATTTTTTAATTTTGAGACAAGGTTTCACTAATTTGTCTAGACTGGTTTTGAACTTGTAATTGTGCTTCAGCCTCCTGAGAAGCTAGAATACTGGTATCATAAGCCACCACACATGACAAACATATTGATAACTTACTTTATACTGCAATGATACATACATACACACACACAGACATTTTTTTTTGCAGGCCTTGTGCCTACTAGGCAAGCACTCTACCACTGAGCTATACCTCCAGCCTCCTACATCTTAAATTTAAAATGGTTTCCTGGAAAACTCAAATTTTCACTAATTCAGTTTTGGTTCTATTTTATGGTTCACTTCAATGTGTAGTATGTATACACATAGTTAAATGCTATACGAAATTCTTATTAATAAAAATCCTTTTGTTATCATTGCCTTTTAATTTTTATTTTACAATTTTTTGTTTTTGTTTATTTGGTACAGGGTCTCTCTCACTCTGCAGTTCGGACTCATAGTGACCCTCTCGTCTCAGCCTCACCAGTGCTGGAACTCCAGGTGTGTGCCACCATGCCCAGTTTTGGGGCCTGCATGGCATGTGGTACTGGGGACAGAACTCCCATCCTTGCACTTGAGAGGCAGGCACTTAAACCACTGAGCTATTTCCCCAGCCCCATCACTGCCATTAAAAAAAACTTGTTTATATTTCTGCAAGGAAATAACCAGTTTTGCTGGTGATGTCATAAAATAAGGCAAAGTGAGTGCCTGACTTAAGCCACGAAGTTCAACGACACACTCATCATCAGCTATCCGCAATGTAAGTGGGAAGTACACAGCATGTGCATCCGCTCACCAAGCATCCACAGCAGGAAGAAGACGATGTGCTCCTGTGTGCTGCCTTTAGTGTGTGTGCAATGGCAGGGTGGAGGCATCTTTCCTGTGCACGCAAGTTTCTATGGGTGTTTTGTTTTGCTTTTTTGTTTGTAACAGTGCCTATATTTCTATCTCAGGACTCCTTAAGGAGTCCTTCCTCCAATAATTTGGAAAGTTTGTTATACATAAGGAGAAGTACGACCTTAGACACTGAGCACAGGCTTCTGACTTTGCTTTCTAATCACACAAAGAAGGGGCTGGGATATGGCTCGAGGTACAGTGCTTGCCAAAACCAGGATCACTAATCACACAGAGAACTCATCACCACTGCTGACACTCTTAAGTAATGTACCAAAGTACCCCGAGTAAAGACTGGAATTTGCTTCAAACATGGTTTATTTCCTGCAGCCTGCACCTATGGTTGACTTTAATGAGGAATCTCAGAAATATACACTATACTGCAAGCATCGGTTAGGTACTCTAACGATAAGAATTTTAAGAGAAGACTACATTAATATATGACTTAGACTTATGCAATTGGAAATTATAGTCTTATCCCACATAACCTGTTTAAACATTAACTTTTCTTCAGTTCTTATCCAGAATACCCCCCAAATCTCATGTCTTGGTGGCTAGGGCCCACTGTAGCTATGCTCACAAGTGGGGTTTTGAGAGACTGTCATGAGGGAGTGAGCCGGGCTGTGCCTTGGGGACTCCATCGTGTCCCTGGCCATCCTCTTAGGCTTTCTCTCAGGGTACCTGCTCCTCCATAAGGGGAACCTTTTGTTCAGGACCAAGATGATGGAGCGCCTTGCCACAGGCCCAGAAGCAACGAAGCCCAGTGACCACAGCCTGAAACCTCAGAAACCACAAGCCAAATAGAGCTTCCCTCTGTAAGCTGATTTTTCTCAGGCATTCTGTCACACTGACAAAAAACTAAGTCAAATCGCTTTTCAATTTAAATAACTATGGAAGTTTTTACCAGGTATATTTTATTTTTGGGGGGAGTTGGTTTTTATTTATTTATTTTTTTCCATAAATTTATTGAGAAACAAATAGCAATGAGACAGTTTCAAACCAAATTGGTAGGACAGTTTCAATAATTAACACATTGCATACATTTTTCTTAGTGGTTAATTGCTGTACAAGATGCGGACATGATATCCTATTTACAAACACCATTAGAACAAATCCCTCTATTCATTAAGAGAAAGTAATCATATATGTATCCTAACCACTTTGAAGACACAGATACAAAATGGACATTCATCTGTATCCCCTTTTTTTGTTAAGTTCCATCATTTAAATATTATAGGTATGTAAACTCAGCAAAATATTCTAAAAGAGTTCAGTAGTCCGTTAATAGTATTGGGTCTTCTGCTTCACTGGCAATGTCAGAAATTGTTGACCTGAGTCCCCTACAGCTCAACATAACAGCATGGCTTTACTTCTTATACTTCATTTTTATACTTTTCTGCTGGATGGTTAAGACCAAGGTAAAGCAGGACCTGTGCAACAAGAGTTGTAGCTTTTGGGTCTGATAAGGTCAATGAAATCCCCTCAGGATTTATCCTGAGATCCTACCAGGTATATTTTAGCTAAGCACTTATTTTATTAATATTTAAAAATGATTTTATATGGAAGCACTTGGTAAAATAACACTGTATCTTTTCCACAATGCTACAAACTCATTTAGAGCAAGAATCAAGCTGCTTTCCCTCACCAGGAGCAAACTGGCTGTGGAGAGCATAATCAGTACTTAAATCATGCCTTATCTACACTTTTTTGCCAGGCTGGGTACTTATTTATGAATCACAGAAAGAGCTAAAGGATGAAGAAGTACATTTGTAAAGTGTAAGAAAAGAAGTGAAAAATAGAAGCCATACCTATTATGATTAAGAACTGATTGAAAAAGAAAATCAATTTTGGTAGCAAAGTATTTGAAATCACTCTATAACCTCAAAATTTTTAAGACATTATTCTCTAAAAATACCACAATGTGATTCTTAGCACTGGTTTTAGCCTTGCAGTCACATACCCCAATGATGAGAGGTGTAGGTCTCCTCAGGAAACTACTCAGCCTAGAGCTGGGGGCCAGCACAGGGCTGTGATGGCAGGATTCTGGGAGTTGGGGCAAGTGCGTCACGAATTCCTGCCCAGTGACACATTTAGTAACTTAGTAACAAGGGCAACTCAGCAGGACCCTAGCTCAGAGCTGGCCAGATGGCTCAGTGGACTAAAGAGCCTTAGGCAGGCCAGGAGCAGCAACCAGGGTTTGATTCCCCCCAGCATGCCCTGCCAGCCCCACACCCAGGGCACGCTGAGACAATGATTGAGTCTGGATAGTGACTGAGATTAGGCATAGTGGCAAGCGCCTTTAATTCTAGCGCTTGGGAGGCTGCAAATCACTACAAGTCCCATCTGTGTAGTGAGACCCTGTAGACCTTGTACTACATGCATTAAAAAAAAAAACAAAAAAAAAAAAAACCTAGCTCAAGGTAAAGGGCTGCAGAGGCCCTGGGTTTGATACCCAGTACCACAAAAATAAGCTAAGTAACTATGCAAACGGCTGGAATGTAGTGCACTGAGAAGAGCCAAGGTTCGGTCCCTGGTACTACTACACAACTAATTCAGGTGCCTTTTAGCTTTCAAGATCTTCCCCAGCCACCTATTGCATTATCCTCGAAAAAAAATCCAAATAAATACTAAATAGACACAATCATTAGAAGCTTTCTAATAATGCTAAAGTAATTTAGTCCAATAAATTAGTATTACCTGTTTCAAAATTAATACTGTTACATGGTCGTCCTGAGTCATCCACACGATGTTCTCTTAAAAAGAAAAACAAACATTGTGTTTACAAAATCCTTAGTAAAATATAGAAAAATAGTTTCAATTTATGAATAAATTCTATTTTCTCTTAATGGTGTCAAAAGCTTATTTAAAAAGTGAAGGGTGAATGGGAATGGGAGAAACCAGCTCTGCAGAGTGAATTTGGGCAGAACAAGAGAAAAAGATAAAAACAAAATTAAAAGCTCATGCTGCTTCTGAGAATAGAGGCACGGGCTACCATAACTCATGACAGCCAGTGTTCTAATTTTTGAAATTCTTAGTTTCTTTTATTATTAGTGAATATTAATAATAACCTTTAAAAGACAGAAGTTGGAGTTTGGGGGTTTTGTGGTACTAGGGACTGTACCCAGGGCTTACATACAGTCCTTTTTTTATTTTTCATTTTGAGAAAGGTCTCATGAAGTTACCCAGGCTGGAGCTCCAACTGGCCACGCTGCCGCGGCATCTCAGAGTGCTGGGATTACAGCTAGGAGCCACCACTCCGAGTAGAATTCTTGTCATATTAAAATAAAGAATGAAAAGAGTAGCTAACTCATCTAAAAGCATGTGTGATCCACCACATGTGATCTACCTGAAAATTTTCAGTGACTTTAAACACTATTTATAAATGGTTCTGAACAACTGGATAAGACATTCTATATAAAATAGTATAACTTCTGTAGATAACAGCTCAAGTAACCTATGTGCTGAGGGCTGATACTAAGGCAAATTAATGGCTACTGAAAATGTCTTCATGCCATTCCTCTACTTAGAAACCGTGTTAATAAATCAAGACTAAACCTTGAATCACAAGAGATCTTCATGTTCTCATTTAACAAGCTATTATTGTGGATGCCCATGCTTTAGCTGATCAAAAGTTTACGAGCACAACTAAAAATATCAGAAGTTTCCAATAATCAAAAGGCTTATTTAACAATCTACAAAGTGGCTTACCATTTCTGTCTAATTACCTTAATACAGCAAGGATCAGAATAATATTTAAAATTCCCAGGAAAGCGCCAAGTAAAACCGGTGCAGTATACATATTTATCTGCAGCTTAATTGTGTCCCACGTCACACCCTTTTCTCCAATGAGTGCAAAACAAGTCTGAAAAACTTATTAAAATGTATAGAGATGAACTATTATATTGGAAAAACAGGCTAAAAAGATATAAAACACCATTAAATTGGAAGTAACATGGAATCATCTACCAATAGGGGCAAGAAAACTTGTACACAAAGCACAGAGGCACATACATACATACATATCTGACGTTATCAAATTATTAGAATTTCATAGGGGATAAAAGAACTAGGACACAAGTATCTAAGAAGGCACCTTAGGAAAGTAATAATGAAAAAGGTTGAGGCACTGATGTATGTACATTCGCAAGGGTTTCTACCGAAAGTGATTTACCAAGGGCTTCTTTTCTTCTCTACAGAGGGTGAGTAACAGTTCTGGGAACTGAACCCACAGCCTCACGTACGCTAAGCACAGACTATCATGGAGGACCCACCCAGTTTGTGTCTTCTTGCTTTTTTTTTGTATTTCAATACAGGGTCTACAGGGTCTTACTATGCAGATCGGACTCATAGTGATCCTCCTGTTTTCAGCCTCCCAAGTGTTAGGATTATAGGTGTGTGCCACCAAACCCTGACGGGGCTAGGGCCAGCATAGCAAGCCAGTGAGCAGTAATATTTACTGAGAACTTTAATTTTTGTCTATACCAAATACTATGCTCAGTATTGAGGGTAGATTAATAAATGAAAAGACTACAAGTCCTTATGTAATATAAAACATAGGACTACAATTCATTTTATATTTATGCTTATATTTTTTATAGAATATGAAACCAAATTATTAGATTCTCTGGTAAACTCGATTCTCTTCTGCTAAGCCTTTTTTGAGGTACTTGAGTTAACACAGATACTCTGCCACAGATCTCTATCTCCAACATTTTCTTAATCTGTTTTGGGACAGTTGTGCTAAACTGCCCAGGTTGGCCTCAAATTTGTGATCTTCCTAAATCTCCTGATTAGCTGATTATAGGTGAGTCACCATGTCCAGCTTTTTTTTAACCTAAATTAAAGGAAGTAACAGAAACTAAGGTGGGAATGAGGTGTGAACTATGTAAACTAAGTTATAGTCAAACTGGTAATATCACATAATATTAAAAAACCTTAAATCAGTTGTATGTAAATAAGATTTGTTATTAAATATTATACTAGGCATAAAATGCTTACATTTTCTACACAGTAAAATTAATTTCACTTGCAGAAGTATTAAACTTCATTTTTTTTTAAATCTCAGTAAGAGGATGGAAGCTTTGGAAGAAGATAGTAAGCTTTTAAAAAGTTCTTTTGTTTTCTTCAACCTAAGAAAAGTATTAAATGTATGGATAAAGCATAAGAAAGGAAAAAAAACTTCCTATAACTTCTTCAAATTCTTCAGTTAAAAAAATTTTATTCAAAAAAAAAAAAAAAAAAGAATTTTGTTCCCCATAAATAGAGGGAAAAAATAGGAAAAAAAAATTGTTTCCCATATTTATTGGGAACAAAATTCTTGAAGAGATAGCAAGCTAAAAATGACTGACAGGGGGGCCTGGCCCTAGCCAGCCAAAAGTGCCCTGAAGGCATTCGAGGAGAAAAAAAAAAAAAAAGTGAATGACAGAGTCAGAAACAGGCTTGGCTCTAGCAAGGAGGGAAGAGTGTGGGAGGGAAAGAAAGGGGACATCAAAAGAATTAAGATGTCGTGTTATGGACCAACGCCTGTGATGAATGTAATCACTGGTACCACAGACATAGATTAATAAAACTGCAAGAGAAAAAGTTTGGGGGCCAGGGAGCTGGCTCAGTAGAATAAGCGCTTCCCTGACAAGCGCAAGGGCCTGAGTTCAGTCCCCGGTTCTACCAACAAAAAAAAAAAAAAAAAAAGGAGAAAAGTTTGAAGCCTGTATTTCCCATATACTATCTGGGTGAGATTGGGCAATTTTTCTTATGTGCTCTTATGCCTTGGTATCCTTATTTGTAAAATGGGACAAACAGCACTTAATTTAATTTACAGAAATGCAACCAAGGTAAAATGAACCTAGTCTCCATCCCTGAGGATGTGGCTCAGAGGCTGAGTACTTGCCTACCGTAACTGAGGTCCCAGGTTTCATACATATCCCTTTTCCTCTGGGCCCCAAAGCATTATACTTGGCATTACATATAACATTTGAATCTCAAGAGTCTTCCCACGAAGGTGGGGAGGGAAATGAGATGGGGAAAAAAAAAAAGGAATTAAAGTGCACTATGAGAGCTGGCCAAATAGCTCAGTGGATTAAAAAGTATCTGCAAGCAGGCTCAGGGACCAGAATCTGCTGTGCCAGCCCTGCCCTTGGGGCGGACTGAGAGGGCAATAGGGACTGGGCATGGTGGCATGTACCTGTAATCCCAGCTCTTGAGAGGTTGTAAACAGGAGGATCACTATGAGTCCAATCTAGTAGTGAGACCCTGAACACCCTGTAGACCCTTCCCTTAAATACAAAAAAAAAAAAAAAAAAAAAAAAAAAAATGCTGGAAGATTTAAAGTGCAGTATGTATGTGGACCAATTTCTAACAAGTAATGGAAATATCATATATTATAAACATACCAATTTACAAATTTTTCCCAAATTAAATGCTACAAATTACAAGTGAAAAATACCTACCTGGACCTAGAATAAATCCTAATGCTTGGCACGTGCTTGTATTTGCCATGGAACTTGTTCTTTCCTGAAGGGAAGTAGCACCAGCAACATATGATCTAACAACTGCTACATTTCCTAAGAAAAGACAATAACACAAAATGAACGCAATTTCTTTTGGTTTATAAAGTTCAAATAATTTGGCTGATACAGACGAAATGCTAGCCAACAGTGTGGTCACTTCTTCCCTTTTTCAGTCATACAACAAATGTAAGGTATTTTTACTGAACAAATATATGAATTAATGGGACACAGTACTTTCAGCAACAAGAAACTAGTTCTGAATGAATGATGAAATGGCACTGTAAGAATATAAAAAAGGAATATCAGACTTTAAATATTCAGAAAGATCTGACTAAATGGCATAATAGTTATTGCTACAACTGTTTTTAAACAAGAGGTATCAACAAATTGCACACAAAGATCTGTGATATAAGAAACAGGAAAAATCTACTAACATTTTAACTCTAAATTTTTATTCAGAGCTTATAACGCTCAACTGACTGTGCTAGGAGCCACAGAATATTAAAAAGTATCATAAACTGCCTCTAATTACAAAAAGTTTGCTAATTGGTGAGAAAGGGCAAAAACGATTAAATGCAAGTGCCCAACAACAGAAACAAATGATCCCTTAAGGAGCAGGGTAGCCAGAAAGGCTGCATGTATGATGTAGAACTTAACCTGCCTCTTGAAGAATAAAGAACAATGAGAGCAAAAAAGAGAAGCTATAGATAATAGGCGTCGTGAACAAAGGCAGAAGGACAGCAGAGCTATCTAGCTTTTTAAGGAGAGATATGTGTTGGGGCTGTAGGCTATGACATTGAGAAGGAAAGAGGCCAGCTAAGAGAGGGCCATAAGTATCAGGATAAGTGTATACTTGACAGGAACAAACACACACGAATTCATTACCTGCTCCAAATCCCACCAATCCACGAGCGATCAACATGTAGTATTTATTATGAGAAGCCGGGACGTGGACATAAGCATAGAGGCAGTTGGCTGCCACCGAAATTAAGATGGAGATGACAAGAGGCTCTTTTCTTGGCCTATAATTAGACCATAAACCAAATATAGGTGAAGCTACCATCTGGCCAAGACTAAATGAAGCAATAACCCAGCCCAAAAAACGTGCATCAGCTGTCTGATCAATCTGCAGAGAAACATACATACAAGGCTTTAAGAATTGTTATCCAACAAAGTTTATTATTCATAGTAAGAGATTTAAACTTTTCACTATACAATTAAATGTGCTACAATGAGCTGTACACACAAAAATAAAGGCTTCTCTGGCTACCCAGCACCTTTCATCTTTTAAAATGATTATAGAAATTAATAGTTCACCAAATCTTATTAAGAAGATAATTACTATATATATATATATATATATATATATGGATCAATATCTTTGTAAACTATAATGTGAGGTATTCTTTAAATCTTAAGAATATAATTTTTGAGATTTATACTTTCCTATACACAAAACAGCCATTAGCATCATACTTTTTTAAAGCTGAGTACAATAGTCAAATGTGTAAAAAAAAAATTATAGTCATTTTTCTCATTAAAACTATTACTAATTCTTCTACTTCCACAATTGAGGACTTCATCCACTTAGAAGGAAGTTTGGCTTTTTTGTTTTGGAATTCTGTTTTTTGTTTTCATGATGCTGGGGATTGAACCCAGAATGCTACACATGCTAGGCATGTCCTCTAGCCCTGAGCTACAACCATAGCCATGAAGAAAGCTTAAATATCATGATGAACATTGAAGGAAGACTCAAACGACTAAAATTCCAAAGGAGATACTTTCAGAAAAAACTTTATCCTAAGAAAACAGACCATGGTGGCAACCCATTTTGGGCCCCTCTTGTCTCTCAAGAGCTATAATTATTCCCCCTTCCTCTTCCCCAATAAATTTTCCTACTCTTAAAAAAAGAAAGAAAAGATAATGGACTATGGTACAAATTAAAAGATCTTTTAAATGCAGTGAACTCTAGTTTGGAAAATGACCATTAATTTTTTAGAAAATACATTTAAACAAAGGTAAGTGTAAAGAAAAATCATGGACTTTTCCTTCCTAAAGACATCTTTTTTTTTTTTTTTTTTTTCCTAAAGACATCTTTAAGAAGCTTAAAACAGAAATATTTTGGTAAAGCCAGATGCAGTGACAGATGCTTATAATTCCAGTATTCGGGAGGCTGAGGCAGGAGGACCACTGCGAGTTTGAGCCACCCTGGGCTACACAGTGAATTTAAGGCCAGCCTAAACTACATGGCAAGACCTTCTCTCAAAAGCAAGCAAACAAACAAAATGAGTATATTTAGTTTAGGCACTTTTTCAGTTTTTATTCAGAAATATTACTTTTAGTTTGTTTAGCCCTTTTTATTAAATATAAACTAATAATTTCATATCATAAAAGGTCCTCAAAGAAGCAATGGAAACTCAATGTTAAAGTTAACTATTTAGTGTTGACAAGACATAAAAAGCATCTTCTCGGGGCATCAGCTAATGATAATCAAGAGGTCATTTCATGAACAGAAGTGAGCTGACCCTTCTAGAGACTGGGAGAAACTTTCCTTGGAACTAGATATTCTTCACAGTACCTGGAAAGCCACCATCTGCTCTATCTGTAACAAGCAAAAAAAAAAAAAAAAAAAAATGCTCTGGGAGATACAGACCAGGGTCCCTCAGGCACCGTCACCTGTGCTCCAGGAGGTCGCCCTCCCTCTCGTGACAGGAACAGCACATCCTGTTCTCTAGTCCTATCTAGTTCCAAGGAGCTCTATCATGCTGTTTTCAGAATCAAACTGAAACCAGCTGTTCTTAAACAACAGATCAAAAGCTAACCTGTCTCTCTAGCCTCCTTTCTCCGCATGCTCTTTTTTCCCAATTCTATCTGCCAGTGGTGAAACTGAGGTTTCCAAGCCTCTGGGCCTTTCTGCACAGGCTGTTCCAGGCCCTTTCTCACCAGAGGCCCTCCCAACCCCCACACTCTGGCTGCCTCCTTGCCTCCAGCTCACCATGTTCTACTGAGCCATCTCTGTGGCCTCAAAATTAAGTTCACAGGGGCCGGGAGATGGCTCAGTAGAATAAGCACTTGGCAAGCGCAAGGGTCTGAGTTCAATCCCCAGTTCCACAAAAAAAAAAAAAAAAAAAAAAAAAACCACCCTAAGTTCACACATTACTAATTTTGAAAGTTCCCATTCCATTTTCATTTGGATTAACCACACCCCAAGCTGCCTCAATACCCTCTCTCACAAGTGCATACACAAAGCATTCTGTTAAGACTTCTACCCAATCTGTAATATTGCCAAGTAATTATCTGTCACCTTGCTTAATTTTGGTTACTTCAGATAAAGTGTCTATGACTTCTTTAAAAATTAAAAACCAAACAAACAAACAAAACCCTCAGAAGATACTGAACTTCAAAATATTCTCTAAAAACTTTGACATCAAAGTTTCAGGAGCACTAGCACCTTGTTCCAAGAATGTAGATATACGTATGGATATTCTAAGCTCAACTACAGTATTTTCTGAGAGTTCATGGCTTACTTATTCAATTAATAGTCACTGAGGTTGCCAGGTGTGGCAGCGCACACTTCTAATATCAGCACCTGGGGCACTGAGGCAGAAGGATTGTCATTAGTTTGGGGCCAGCCTGGGTTAAACGGTGAGTTCAAGGCCAGTCTGGGATGCATAGCGAGATCCTTTCTTAAAAAGCCACACACACAAACACACACAGACACACACACATACACACAGAGTCAGAGAAAGAGAAAAAGAGACAGACAGACAGGCTGACAGAGAAAACCAACTGAAACCCTCTCTCTAACACAAACTTATTTAAGGCATTAGGGACACAAAAATTAATACACAGATCTTGTCAACAAAGAACTTCTCAGCCAGGTTCCAGTTACATATCTAGGTTTGAAAAATCCTAATGGCCTGAGAAAATAAGCAGGATGCCTTAATTCTTCATGAGGATAATGCACAGAGCTTTTATGAAAATTATTTGAGCCAACAGATATATGATGCTGAATAGTATGTCAGCATACAGTACCCACTTAGGGAATGCTACACCTCCAGTACATGAGGGATTTCTTTGTTGTACTAATATCAAGGTCCCAAGTTTGATCTCCTGTACAACAGAAGGAGGAGGAGGAGCAGGAGGAGGAGGAGGAG